AGCTCTGACCTTCAGCTCTTGCTGGGTAGGTTCGCGGCCGAGTGTGAAGCGGCTGGGATGAGGATCAGCACCTCCAAATCTGAGACCATGGTTCTCGACCGGGAAAGGGTGGCTTGCCAACTCCGGGTCGGGGGAGAGGTCCTACCTCAAGTGGAGGAGTTTAAGTATCTCGGGGTCTTGTTCACGAGTGAGGGTAGGAGGGATCGGGAGATCGACAGGCGGATTGGTTCGGCGTCTGCAGTGATGCGGACGCTGAGCCGATCTGTCGTGGGGAAGAGGGAGCTGAGCCAGAAAGCCAGGCTCTCGATTTACCGGTCGATCTACGTCCCAATCCTCACCTATGGTCATGAGCTTTGGGTAATGACCGAAAGAACGAGATCGCGGATACAAGCGGCCGAAATGAGTTTCCTCCGTAGGGTGGCCGGGCTCAGCCTTAGAGATAGGGTGAGGAGCTCGGACATTCGGGAGGGACTCGGAGTAGAACCGCTGCTCCTCCGGATCGAAAGGAGCCAGTTGAGGTGGTTTGGGCATCTGGTCAGGATGCCTCCTGGACGCCTCCCTGGGGAGGTGTTTCGGGCATGTCCTGCCGGCAGAAGGCCCCCGGGTCGACCCAGGACACGTTGGAGAGGTTACATCTCCAATCTGGTCCGGGAACGCCTTGGGGTCCTGCCGGAGGAGCTGGTGGACAAGGCCGGGGAGAGGACGGCCTGGAGCTCCCTAGTTGGGATGCTGCCCCCGCGACCCGGACCCGGATAAGCGGAGGAAGACGACGACGACGAATTGTGTCGAGACCCCATCTGATTAATCGATTATCCAAATAATCGTTTGTTGCAGCCCTAATGATAGGTATCATGACAAAACTTTGCTTGGTTGTACAAATGGTGAGGTGATGTCACCTAATCAGTTCATGTGATTGTGAGGCCTGAGGACTTTGTTTTTGTTACAGATAAGTCAGCTAAATACAGAGAAGAGCCACAAGGGACAGCAAATAGATTTTCGAGTACTTAGGGACAAAAGAAAGTGGCCCCAAGCAGGTGTGCCTTCCCCAGTATCCCCTCAGCCTATTTGGTAAACAGAAAAGAGCTTTCAATAAGAGCTGGTTCGAGCAGTTTAAATGGCTGGAGTACTCTGAAGCCACCAACTCTACATTTTGCTTTCCATGTCATCACTTTGGAAGGCAAAACATCCGTATCTATAAAGATGCTCTCCTTAGTTTTTCTGGTTTTTCAAACTGGAAAAGGGCTTTGGACTCCTTTCGTGAGCATGAGAAAAGTGACTTCCATAAGTCAAGCATGACATGTTGGCAAAGCTTTAAAAGCACAGGGACTCATGGGGATGTTATTGAGCAGCTGAATACTGCAAGCTCAGAATAAATATCAGAGAGGCGCCAATATCTTCAGCGCATTGTGAGTGTGATCACATTTCTAGGGAAGCATTTCGCAGGCATGATGAGCAGGAGACTAGCAATAATCAAGGCAACTTCCTGGAATGCATGAAACTCCTGAAAAAATTTGACCCATTTCTCAAAAAATATTCACCTCCTAAAAATGCCACCTACCTATCACATCCATCACAAAATGAAATTATTTCAAGCATTGCACAAGAAATAACTGAAAATTTCACAAAACAAATTAGATCCTCCACAATGTACGCTGTGATGGCAGATGAAGCTAGAGATCACCATACAGAGCAGCTAGCAGTATGTGTTCACTTTGTCACAATGGAAGGTTCCCCAAGAGAGGCTTTTCTTGGACTACACAAGCTAGAAAAATTTGATGCAAAATCTACTGCAGATGGAATAGAGGCAGTGCTGCAGTCTCACAACCTAGGGGGTCTCAAGTGTGTTGCACAAACCTATGATGGAGCATCAGTGATGAGTGGAGCAGTAGGGGGTGTACAGGCCTACTTCAAAGAACGACACCCTGAAGCAGTGTATGTACACTGTTACGCACATGAGCTTAACCTAGTCCTGTGCCACACATGCAAAGCTATATCTGAAGCTGCTGCATTCTTTGACTTGCTTGAAAACATATACACATGTTTCAGCAACTCACTCATTAACCACAACAAGTTCATTGAAATCCAGAAACAACTTAGATTACAGCCATCTGAACTTGTGCAACTCTCCAGGTGAGGTCTGTAAAAGCTGTCATGAACAACCTTCCTGCCATTCTTGCATGTCTCAGGACCATGAAGACTGCCACAGCCCAAGGGATCTTGTCAAATCTCTGTAAACCAAAGACAATCTACATGTTAGTGATGTTTGCCAAACTCCTTATGATAACTGAAGGTTTCCATCGATAGCTGCAGGGGGAAAGTGTGGATATGAGCAGAGCAGTGCTGTACAAAACAGCAATCATTGAAACTTTGACAGATTTCCGCACAAGCAGTAGTGTTGAAGATCTTTTTAAAAGTGCCATGACCATATGTGAGGAAAATCACATCCAGCTCCCAGTTGGTCCCAGGAAAAAATATAAAATAATGGATGATTTTGTGGTGGAGTCAGCCTGTGGGGCAACCTCTATTCTGACCACCCCAGATGAGTTTAGAAGACAACTTTTTTATCCATGCTTGGGCAGAATGATACAGGAGCTCACTCATCGGTTTTCAGATTTGGGAGAAGAACTTATGTCAGGTATTCAAGCCTGCAATCCAACTACATCAACCTTTCTTTCTGAAGAGGCTCTCAAAGGTCTTGCTAACCATTATGGAATTAAGCTGATGCAAGAACTCCTGGTGGCAAAACATGTCGTCAAGAAATGGCTGGAGAAAGAGAGAGATAAAACAACCCCAGACAAAGCTACAGAAGAAAATCAAAGACTGGACATAGCCACTGTGTTCAGGATTCTTGACAGAGAAATGTTTCCCACCTTGAAAGCCGTCCACCAAGTTGCCCTCACAATCCCCATAAGCAGCTGCAACTGTGAACGCTCTTTCAGTGTTTTACGCCGTCTCCACACATGGTTGAGAAGCACCATGGACCAAGAAAGACTGAATGACCTTTCCATTATGCCAATTGAAAAGGAAACTCTGGACGTCATAACCCCTGACCAAATTATTGACAGATTTGCTAAACTAAAGCCACGTCGCCACAGCCTTATTTTGCTACTATTACAAAAAGAAGTAGGGGAAAAAGATGGTGATGGAGAGATGTGGGGCCACTGAAGTTGAAAAAGAGTGCAATGAAGTGATTTTCATGCAGCAATAAAAAAACAGTCTGTACTTTATGAAAAAAGTGAAATACATTTGTATACATTTACTTAAATTTTGCATATGTTCTTTTCTGATTTGGAATAAGTTATCTACTGAATAAAACTTGTTTGTTGAAGTAAAAGCTGTTTTCTTTTTTGAATTATGCAATGAATCAAATCAATAAATGAGGTAACTGGAAATTGGTCAGCAAACTTGTGCAGAAAGCGAAGAGACATTATTTGAAATATGGATAAAGAACTAAGTAGGAAAAGACAGCAAGGATGCCAGCAAGGATCACTAGAACTTAAGTTGCATATTTTTTTGTGAAGCTTGAGGAAATCTTGTAAAGCTAGCTTGTTCTATATTTGTTGCTTTTAGTGGATGTGAGGTGTATTCACTGGATCTGTGATCTGAGGTGACTTCAATCAGCACCACTGAAGAAGAAGCCCTTCAGCAGCCGGCTTCTTCTACAGTCTCTGCCTGAAACACGTGTGAAGATGGACATAAGGACGTTTTTTTAGACAAAAGGTACCGCGACAGAACCCCAGCTTTGATGATACTGGTGTGTTGACTCAGGTTTGTGAGTCTTATTTGAAAATATTTGTGATTTGTAATATATATGATATTGACTAATGCGTGTCACGTGTGTGTGCGCGCGCATGCTCGCGCGCGTTAAGCCCCGGATCTTCTTCAGTCCTAAATCCGCCCCTGTAGCCCTGTACATTCTGACCATGTTTGGTTCCACCACAACTGTGAGGCAGCGTTCTCCACAATGAACATTATAAAAAACAAATATCGTTCTAGGCTCACCAATGAGCATCTCCACACATGCATGAGGATGGCTGTCTCCATTCAAGCCCAGGTTCTAAATGTTGGCAGGACAAGCAAGAGCTCACTTCTCTCACTAAGTAGAAATGTGGAAAACATTAACCTAAATATATGTTCAGTTATTACATGTGTGCAGAGTCACATTTTTTTAAAATCGTTTTAAGACTTTTTAGCCCACACGTGGAAAAATGTAAAAATTAAGCTTTTTGGACATTTATTGTATTCTAAAGTTAGTAGTTTGTGAAGATTCAGTAGCCATGTCTTATTTTCTTGTTGACAGTTTTTTCTGCTTTTATTTAGTAAATGAGAGAACATTCCAAATAAGAAATCATTTACATGTTCAACACTAAGTGACAATAAATGTCTGAAGTATTTGAATTACACTGAAGTATTTCTGATTTGATATGCAAATTGATAATGCAGATGTTGATAAAGCTGCTAGGATACTTAAATACATGTCACACTATTGTAGGTCAGACATTATGATATTTCGGACCTTGGGCTAAAAAAATTATTTCTGACAGGACTTTTTTAAATAGTATTTGTGTACCCCTGATTTAGATGATTAATCTAACGACTAGTTTTCTGTTGCAAGATTAATAAAAACCAGAAAATCTCAAATAAATACCCCAAAAATGTAATAAACTGGTCCTGTTAGAGAATAAACACTACAGGCCTTCCATTTTGTATAACATTGCATTTATTGTGTTGCGGTGGGTTGTGTTCTGGTGACATGTGGAGCTTCAGAGTGCCGGCTGCTGAGCCTGAGAGGTGGTTGGAGACGGAGTTTCTTTCTCCATGCTGCTTGTTCTTGTCACTCTTGTGTATGTGGTGAGTGGTGTTACGACCCTTCCTGGAGAGTCTGGCTCGTGTGCATAAAGGAAGGGACAATAACAGAAGATTTAAAAGTTATACAATGATCAGGTTTATTTACAAAGATACTTCAATCTTTCCACCCACAGGTTGGGAATACTAACAAACAAACTAATACGGGCTGTGAGGAATTAAAACAAAAGTACAAATAACTAGTGTTAAAGATGTCCCACTGGGCAAACACTACTGGGTTCTAGATCAAAATAAGGATCTCAAAAGGGACAAACTCTAAACTGGGTGGTCAAACCAAACTCAAGGTGATATTTTAACTAAATCAAAAGCCCACAGCGCTCTAAATGCATCCAAAAGGGAGATCTACACCACACAAAAGACCAACTCTAGACCAAAACGTTACAGTTTATCCAAACACAAGCTTTGGTAGTTTTACCAACGTTAAGCCCAAGTTACCACGTAGAAATAAACCAAAAAGACCCAGCACACTAACCAGCGCAGAGGAGAGACAGCTACCACAAGAACAGCTCTCCTGATGTCTGAAAGAAGATTCCTTATGATATGAAGGGGCTATTCCAGGTGATTTTCTACATCTGCCATACAGACGAGGCAGCGCCTTTGACCCCGGAGGTTGTTGTCTGTTGCCGGGAGATGAACGCGGGCGAAACAGGAAGAGAATCTGGTAGCGGAATCTTACATAAAATTAGTGGATCACTAAATAAAAAAGCTTGAAAGCTATAACTATTTGCACTACCTACAATTTATCTGGATGTGTGTAACATTTCTATAGCGCACCCCCTGGCATGTATTGTTCTGTGTTCAGTTTTGTATGCGACTTGTATGTATACTTATTACCTTTTTCAATAAAGTTTTGAAAAAAGAAAAAAGAAAATCTGGTTCCGGGTCTTCGGTATTTGGCGGAGATGTTAGTGAGGGCGGAAAAGAGAGGAAAAGCAGACAGAATCCTTTATTTACAAACCCCTGGGAACACAACAAGTGGGTGTGGTACGCCGACGACCGGATCTTACCTTGTAGAATTTTTAGAATCAAGTCGCTGACGTCATCGACGCTACGCTACACTACGCTACAGCTCTACTGAGGATATTGGCCGTGTTCCAGATGAGCCAGTTCTGCACAGATTAGATCACCGGTGATCAGCGCGCAGTGCATGCCGGTTAGATTTGTGTCCGACTTGACGCCGACTTGCTCTGACGTCATGCCTACGTAGCCAACGATAACCTCGTGAGATCAAGGCGGCCGCAGATTTTGGAGCAAGGCGCTGCAGTTGCTCTCCACTGGCTGTAAAACCTAGGGCATGATGGGAAACGCCTGGCTCTCACCTGATCTAAGTTCTGATTGGTTCATATTTTGAGCAAAACATCCAGTGGTAGAACACAAAATGTTAGTTGGTCACATGTATTCTGTAAATCATTTTACGTTGATGATGACAACTATATAGGCCATAAAGATAAATGTGACTTGTGTTCTTTTGTCACGTTTCCTATTAAAACCCTACAGCTGCTAACCTTTACTTATTATTACAGTCATATCTTCACATGCACATGTCTACAATATATGATATCCACAAGCATGTGTGTCAGTTGCTAACAAGCACCAGAATTAAAATGTAAAATTAAACAAGTGTGAACGCTAACGTGATATCTTCATCCATCGTCACCTGCGAGCGACACATGTAGGGAAATCTGTCCGACTTAAACGCCGGCTTTCAGCCACTCCCCCTGCTGCGTCCGTCTGCTCTCGTCTCTTTTCCAGGCGAGGCGCTGCTCAACTCGAACACGGCCATTGTTGAATGCTGGCATCAGGTCACATGATCAATATTTGACCCTCCCCAACGTGTCCAGAAACTATTTAAGGTTAAACACAGAAAACCTCCAACAGCTGCAGTGAACTGACCTCAGAACCTCCAGTCTACAGTTTGGACTCTCCAGTCCAGAACTCAGAACCTTCATTTCAGAATCAGACAGGATGTTCCTACTCAGGTCCAGTTCTGTCAGATGGGACGGGTTGGACTTCAGAGCTGAGGACACAACTTCAAGGTGAGTCTCTGAGAGTCCAGAATAATCACCAGATCTGTGATGAGAGAAAAGTTCAAGTCAGTTGTAATAAAATCAGAGAATCTGTCTGATAAACATCCTGATATCAGATGATGACTAAACAGTGATGTCATCATCTCATGAACATCTGCTCTTCGCATCTGTGCTTCATCTGGTCCATCTGACTGTCTGACATGAGCCCGTGAATCTGTTCAGTCTCTTTCACACCTGCAGACTTTTAATGAGAATCTTAGTTTAGCGTTAATCTGCAGATGAAGGAGGGAACATGGCGTTCCATTTCTGCTTCCATCATGTCCACAGTCTGTCAGCAGGATCTGATCCAGAGTCAGGATCAACACGTCTGCTGTAGGAAAACATTTGGACTCTTTTCTAGTTTCCATCTGAGCTCAGAACCTTTAGACTGAGTTCAGCTCAGTGAACAGGTCCAGTTGGAAAGATGATCTCTTTGCTTCCAGTTCCTGTCAGCTCCAACTGTTCAGGTGCACACGCAGGAACATGCTGCTGATGTCCAGCTTTCAAGGTTCACAACATCAGAGATTTAGCAGGACTGGGATTCAGAGCTCTGATGTGGAACAGTGAGGTGTGTGTGGACACACTTCACCAGAAAGCAGTGATGGATTTGTTGTTTGTTCTTGAAAAAGGAACCAAATAAACCAAGTTCACCCTCAACAAAGCTCTGATGCAGAAAGAGGCAGCAGAGAGTGTTGATCTGTCCACAATCAGACTCTAAACCTTCTGATTCACTTTGACGTCTTCTTCATTCACTAAAGTGATTTTTCTGTTTAAACTGCGCAGCTCTAATAACTACTACTGACTGATGATGCTCATCAACACATCTGGACTCACCTGAACTTTCTGCAGTTCCTCACAGCTGGAATCAGTCTCAGTCGTCCCCCTGGTGATGTTCTGTACTTCTGCAGGTCCAACTCATCCAGAACCTCCTCTGACATCAGCAGCATGTAGGCCAGAGCTGAACACTGGATCTCTGAGAGAATGTCTGATCTGTTCTCTGACTTCAGGAACTTTTGGACCTCCTGATAAACTGAGAGGTCCTTCATCTCCATCAGACAGTGGAAAATGTTGATGCTTCTGTCTGGAGAGACTTCATCACTGTTCATCTCCTTCAGGTTGTTGATGGCTCTCTGGATGGTTCCTGGACTGATCTGTGTCTGACCCAGCAGACCTCCTAAGAGTCTCTGGTTGGACTCCACAGAGAGGCCATGAAGGAAGCGGACAAACAGGTCCAGGTGGCCGTTTTCACTGCTGAGGGATTTCTTCATCACTCTCTTCAGGAAGTTCTCCAGAGATGAGTTTCTGTAGACTCTTCCCAGGAAGTTCTTCACCACCTTCATGTTCCTGCTGCTGAAACAGTGGAACATGTAGACTGCAGCCAGAAACTCCTGAACGCTCAGATGAACAAAGCAGTAGACTGGTTTCTGGAACATCACACACTCTCTTCTGAAGATCTCTGTACAAACTCCTGAGTACACCGAGGCCTCTGAGACATCAAGACCACACTGCTCCAGGTCTTCTTGGTGGAACATGATGTTTCCTTCCTCCAGATGTTCAAACGCCAGCCTCCCCAGCTTCAGAAGAAGCTCCCTGTCAGCCTCCATCAGCTCCTGTGGACTGGTCTCAGGTCCTTCATGGTACTTGTTCTTCTTCCTCTTGGTCTGAACCAGCAGGAAGTGTGAGTACATGTCAGTCATGGTCTTGGGCAGCTCTCCTCTCTGCTCTGTAGTCAACATGTTCTCCAGAACTGTAGCAGTGATCCAGCAGAAGACTGGGATTCCACACATGATGTGGAGGCTCCTGGAGGTCTTGATGTGGGAGATGATTCTGCTGGACAGCTCTTCATCACTGAACCTCCTCCTGAAGTAGTCCTCCTTCTGGGCGTCAGTGAAGCCTCGTACTTCTGTTACCCTGTGGACACATGAAGGAGGGATCTGATTGGCTGCTGCAGGTCTGGAGGTGATCCAGACCAGAGCTGAGGGAAGCAGGTTCCCCTTGATGAGGCTTGTCAGCAGCACCTGGACTGATGACCTCTGTGTGACCTCAGAAACCAGCTGACTGCTGCTGAAGTCCAGTGAAAGTCTGCTTTCATCCAGACCATCAAAGATGAAGAGAAGTTTCCAGACAGTCAGCTTCTCTGCTGGGATCTTCTGGAACGTTGGATAGAAAACACGGAGCAGCGTGAGAAGACTGTGCTGCTCATCTCTGATCAAGTTCAGCTCCCTGAAGGAAAGCAGAAGCACCACATGGACATCCTGGTTCTCCAAGCCCTCGGCCCAGTCCAGAGTGAACTTCAGCACTGAGAAGGTTTTTCCAGCTCCTGCGACGCCGTTGGTCAGAACCACTCTGATGGCTCCATGTTGCTCAGGTGAGGCTTTAAAGATGTCCTGGCACCTGATTGGAGTGTCATGGAGGCTCTTGGTCTTGGAAGCGGTCTCCAGCTGCTCCACCTCATGTTGGGTAAGAACCTCTTCACTCTGTCCCTCTGTGATGTAGAGCTCAGTGTAGATCCTGTTCAGGAGGGTTCTACTTCCTGGTTCATCACTTCCTTCAGTCACACGTTCACATCTGCTCTTCAGACTGAGCCGATGTTCTTCTAGAACCTCCTGCAGACCAACATCTGCTGAGAAATGTGACACAGAGCAGATCTGAATGCTGCAGCAGAACCTCCAACATTTTATTGGTAGTTCAATCTGAATCATCTTCATAAAGATCAGGGGTCTCATTTATCAAACATTGTGTAGAATCCTTACTAAAACCGTACTTAAGCTCAGCAAAAATAATGTACCTACGGCAAGTAGGTTTGTGATCTATCAAACATGGAGTACGCACAGCTGCACGCAATCTCCGCTTCATAAATCAGAGACTAACGAGAAAGTTTCTCAGCTGCACTTTAGTCACATCCCGCCCTCACCACACCCACTTACTGCCATAAACAGTCAATGCAAAGTGCCTTGTGGACCTCATGCATTTACATAAGCCGGCTGTTGCAGCGCTCTGCCAATGACATGGCGACCGTAGATCAAGGCAGATCAAGAAAGCGCTATTTCACAAGCAGAAATTGAGGTACCTGTGGGTGAGGTGGAGAAATGAAAGGAAGTGCTTTTGAAAAACAAATAAGAGAAAATCCACGGAGTGGCACAGTGTTGCTGAAGCCGTCAATGTTGTGAGTTCTTTAGAGAGATCTGTGGCGGATATTAAAAAAATGGTCCGATCGAGATTCGATCCCCAGACTCCCGGGTGAAAGGCGCTAACCAGTCAGCCAAACAGGGATCTCATCTGGCAAAGTAGCCAGGGCGCATGATCAATCGGGTCACGGTGACAGGACGCTCACACTGTCAGTCTGTCACAGATCCATGACATTCTGTCTACTTCTGCCCCCCTGCTGATATTCAGCATTCTGTATTCTGCGCTTCAGGCTCTGTGTGTGTGTGTGCGCGTGTGCGCACGTGTGTGAGGGGGCTTGTTCTGTGTGTGTGTGTGTATGAAGCAGTACAAGTGATAATGCTGCAGGATTTCATAATTGTATCCTTCTCAGCAGCAGCACTGCAGGTGCTCTCCATGTCCAAAATGTGTGTAAGCGAGGTCCTTAGTCAGCTTAAAGTTGTGCACATTTTCCCGCTAAGTTTTCTTTCATAAATCCCAAAGTTTGCGTGGAAAGTTGCTTACGCAGTTTTCCGACCCCGTTTTGTGCGTAAGCAAGCTTGATAAATGAGGCCCCTGAAACCTTCATTCTGAACCAAACACCGTGTTTTAAACCAACAGGTAACCAGAAACGTCTCACCTGGTCCTGAGCTGCTCTGATTGGCTGTCTGCAGTCCACTTCTGGTTCTGGATCTTTTCCCACACTGGGGACAGGAGGAGAGTCCTGATGGAGCAGACTGGTCCCAGTATGAGGTGGTGCACTGTCTGCAGAACCAGTGTCCACAGCTGGTAGAGACTGGATCCTTCAGGACGTCCTGACACAAAGAACAGCAGGACAGCTGGTCCTCCTCACCAACAGCACTCCTCTTCCTCCCTCTGTGAAGACATTTTTTCATCATGACCGAGAACCAACTGGACTCTTTCTGATGTTCTGGAAGCTTCTTGTTGGCAGCAAACAGCCTGTATAGAGCTCCAGATTTAGGACTTCAGACATGAAATGTTAAATGTGTTCAAACTTTTAGACAAACTTTCATCCTGCTGTGATTCTGGAGAAACGTCTTCAGACTAAACAATAAAATCTCTCATTTAATCACAACTGAACAAACTGACAGAAAGTCAGAGTAAAAAAGTGTTTCTGATGCTCTGATAAGAGCTGCATTTCCACCTGGTCAACTTTGTTTTTAACACTTTAGAACTCCACTAATTCATAAGTTCTACCAGAAATCAGCAGAAATCCTGTTTTTCTGTCTGAGGAGTCAAATGAATCAGTTAGAAACACTTTTCTTACTTTGTGTCTGAAGGTCCAGATTCACTGAAGTCTGGAGGTTTTCTCATGGACCCGTCACTCTTCATAGACAGACAGCTGGGTTCTGGAGGTTCTGCTCTCCCTCTGTGGTTCTGACCTCTGAAACACAAACATGTTGTAACTCAGATCACATCAAGCCGTGAGAAAATCTCTGATGAAACCATTTCAGATGAACATCAGTAAATTCTCCACACTGGATCTTTAATGTTTGTAACATCCTCTCAGATGATCAGAATAAATCTAAACTCCATCATCTTCAGCCGCTGCATGTCTGATGTACAAAGAAGGAACAAAGTAAATCTGCTGGTTTCTGGAAAAAAGTTCCTGACATCATAATTCACCTTCAGAGACTCTGTGTTAAATTCTGAAAACAAGTCACATGCTTTTATTTTGTAGGATCACATTCCCAGCATCATTTCCTCCATGGCTCTTCGAAGACATTGTGTCTGTAGAAAGTCTCGTTCTGCTCAGAAACATCTCTGGGAGTTTGACTCGTGACTTTTTATTACATTTAACATCCAACGGATCTCCAACCAGGAGAATTCAGGACTTTTTCAGCCACGTTTCTTCCTCAGAGATGAAGGTTCAGAACTGTCCTTCCAGCTTTTAATCAGCTGCTTTGAACAGTTTTTCCAACAATCTCTGAACTGGTTTTGTTTTCTTGATGCAGATGGATAACTGGACCCTTCTGAACCAGAGGAACTGATCAGAAACAACCACAGGATGTGTCTTCATCATGATGGAGGAGAAGCTGCTGACTGCATGACTGAGCTCTGATTGGATTATTTTAACCAAAAGAACGCACACCAGAGAAGATTGGTTGATTTTATGAGCTGCAGCGGAGAGCCGAAAGCATGATCAGAACATTGCCTTCCAACTCTGCCTCCCGCTCCCACTCCAGCACTTTTAGAGAGAGAAAATGAGGACAAAGACCTAATCATCATAGCCTACGCTAACCAATAACATTGCTTCTGAGCTAGAACTGACCAATAACAACGTAACTTCTACCTAAGGCGGGACCGACAAAGAGGAAGTCTCAAGTTACAGGAGTGGCTGCTGAAGGCCAAAAACTGATGACTCATTCAGCCTGTTGCCAGGCAGACTATTTCTACCAATCCCCACAGCATACCAGAGGTTGACTGAAAGGAAAAAAAATAGTCTTGACTAGGGGTTGTATGAACTAGTCGACTAGTCGACTTCACGGCTCTGTAGTGACTTTTTATGCCTGTCATCGACTAGTCACTGTCACGTGATAATGACTGACAAGATGCAGTCCTCCAGCAGGTGATGAGCCCCTGCGTCGGGAGGCGGAGGCGACACGCTGTGCCAGAGCGTTGGTACTGACACCGGCGGTAAAACGGACATTTAACCAAACTGTGACCTTTTCCGTCTTGCAATTTTACCTTCCCCTCACCCCCATCCTAATCTTAACCAGTTTGCGCATGCAAAGCTCTGATCGTTGACGCGCTCCAGACATCTGCGTCCTGAGCACCGCCAAATCAGGTGTCACCACCTCAAAAACAAATTAAACACGCGATCGTTCATGTCGGCTCATTTCCTTTCATGTTTTCTGTCTGTTATTTGTGCCTGATGCATTTCGCTGCTGCGGAGCGAGGCTCTTCACCTGTTTTGTTCTCCGGTGACGCACCCCCAAGATTCCACTACCTCCGCTCCGCTCTGGCACGAACTCCGCAGCAAAAACGGTCCCGTTGCAGTCGGCTGGCGAGCAGCGGCACTCTGCTGTTTTTGTGATCGGTAGATCTTTTAGAACTGCAGTTCAAAGGTAACTCATGAGGTGAATATATATGAACCCAGGTAGCAGTTTCTCTTTAGGATTGAGAGGAGATGCAGGAAGATAATAAACAGGCAGGACAGAAAAATAGTCAAATAAAAACAAGTTAGGTTTTGTACTTGCTGGTTGCAACAAACAGACACCATTGAAGGTAATCAGAAGTGAGGAACAGAAAATGAAACAATTATTTTAATGTTTAGAGCAGCAGGAACTCTGCTGCGCAGGGGAGAGGACTGAAGTAGGATGCAGAAAGTACCGTTGTTAAAAGAGATGTGTTAACTTAGAAAATTCTTTCTTTCGATTTGGGCGCAATTTTATTTGTCAAAAACTCCAGTGAACCTACCGACCCCACCCCCCCGCCGCTTCAGGTGTATGACGTCATCAACGACTAGTCGAAGTCGACTCGATTTTCATTACTTGACTGTCGACTTTAAAAAAAATTAAGTCATGCAACCCCTAGTCCTGACTAACATTTGATTACTTAAAAAGGAACATTAAAAGAGTAATACATTAATACATTAAAAATCCCTGACACGCCTACTTACACTGTTGGTCTTGTTTAAATACGCAGTAATTGTTGCTTGCCTTTTTCACTTCATCCTGCATCCTAGCAGCAACCACTCTGGAGTTGGTGTTTGTTTACGTCATGCTGCATTCAATGTAATTGGAAAAAGAAGCTTCAAGTGCTTAACCTCCGATTTTGTTTTCTTTCTGGCCTTAGTGCGGGGGACGGATCGGGGTGGATCTGAATCTGGGGGGACAGATCCCCCCGTCCCCCACCCTATCTGCGCACCTGGGTGAGGGGAAGGCAAAATTGCAAGAGGGTAAAGGTCACAATTCAGTGAAATCTCCGTTTTACCGCGGGCGTCGAAAAGCGACGCTCTGGCCCAGCGCATCGCCTCCAGACGTTTTGGGAGCCCCAACGCATCTGAAACAAACGCTTGGTCACCCCGTGTCAGTTTTAGCCGCTTCGGGTGTGAGAATGTGTTGAATCACTTTGCACAGAAATCTGGATTATTAAAAAGTACTCTGAGTTCATTAATAAACTCCCATTTTCACTTTCAACAACATAGAAACAGTTTTGAGTTGAAAAAGAAAATCTGTTCCAGTTTTAATCAACCTGCATTTTAAACAAACACACCACACACACAGCACTGGCTTTTCAATAACCACAACTGTTACATCCACCAGTGAGACGGCTCAAAAAGCTGTCGCAGAGCCGGTGTAGCGGTCACACTTTATAGCGTGACGACTGCAAATTAATTATGACCAATAAGATGTGATTATTCCGTATAAATATGAAATATCAACCTGATTGATCTCTGAATGTTTAATCAGAAGAGTTTAGGATTCTTTGCTTGTTCAGGGACCATAAACACACTTCGTATTAATTCAGGCAGAGTGAAGTATAAAGTTAAAAGGAATTTTATTCTTTTCTAAACTAATTATAATACATGACAAGCTATGTGATGGAGTGTATATGCGGTGATGTAATGTGAGTTGTAGGTGATGTAAAGTAGATGTGTATCAGAACCATTTTTGTTGCGTCTAAAACAGATGTGCTCTTAAGGAGCCGTATGGCTGTGTCAGGTGGCAGTGTGCCGGCAGGTTTGACTGTGTGTCAAAAGAGAAAGGTGTCTCAAGGAGGATGGTTCCGAATTGGCCACTTCGGAGTTCCGCTTGAAACTGTATAACTCGGGAAGTCATTCTAGTTTTAATAATCCACGTTATCATTTCTGGCGAATCAGAAATTGACTAGGGCTGCAACTAACGACTATTTTAATAGTCGACTAGTCACCGACTATAGAAACGATTAGTCGACTAATCGAATAATTATTAAATTTTTCTTAAATTTAGCATGAGATTGCTTTAATTATGTGAAAAATGATAATAAACACAAGAAAGATGGGTACTTCAATGGAAAATGTATACTTTATTGAACTTTGCTGCTGATAGGCCAATTAATACTAAAAGTAAATAAAAATGCCCTGTCTTACATCAATTAGGCACAGTGCTCAGTCAGTATCAAAGTCATTTACTGTCATTTCTACCACATGTGCAAGACATACAGAGAAACGAAATTGAGTTTCAATACACACAATTCAGAGATCAGACATACATGGGCAAGACACATGACAAGAATTGGTGACTGCGGTCATTCGCACCATGAGTCGCGCTACCTTAATAGATGAAAAGGAATTACATGAGGATAGGTTGGGGGAGGGAAAAAAGGCATACCAGAGTTACTCCCGACAGGGCGTAGCTGTACTATGCAAAACAACACCTCAAACATATAAGCACGAACTTCAACATTCACAACATGAGACTCCGTTAGGGGGCGGGGGATCCTGTTTTTCCAGGGCCAGCAGCCATGTGCGGCGCTCAGCCAGCTGTGTCCACAGGAGGGAGAGAGATCTTTGGAGGAGCATAGAGCACATTCCTGCAGGTTGATGGCCTCGCTGGGAAGTCCAGAATCTGAAGGCGGGGGGGGGGGGGTAGGACAGGTTCCACAGCATCTGTCTGCATTCCTTCCTTCGTGGGGGATGATTATTTGCAGCTTCAAGGCTGCACTGGCGTCAGATTAGGATAACGAGACAGTGTTTGGGTCAGGCAGAGATAATTTTCCCTCTGCCTACAGTCTGTAACTGGTCATTCCAGTCCTTCAGTGAAGCCAATTAGGGTTATTAAACATCTCCACACCGTCCGGTGACCCTCTCCGAGATGACATCCATTTTGCGCACTAACACCGGTAACGCAGCCAAGACATTGTCCAGCTCGCGATTCACCTCGAGTAACGTCCCAGTCTGTGAGGTCTCCGCCCGGACGGTGCCGCCCATGGGTGCGGGTCGCCCTTCAATCGCTCCCGTCTCCCCAATTTATCGGAAAACCAGATATCCTCCCACTCCAATCACAAGAAATCCAGTGATCATCAGGCCAAATATCCACATATCTTCGACGTCCTCAATGGACAACTGAGAGAGACAGATGTCCTTCCACTCCTTCCTGGAATCGAGCATATATCCCGCTGCGTGTGTCCCATGAGGGCAAGTGGGAGCCCCCTCCTCCGTTCTCATCGTAGAAAAAATCTTATCAATCGCGTTGAATGACCAATTAATTAAATCCATTTCTGAAAAATAGTGATTTCCAGAGGAAATGCAGAGAAGCGCTCTGTAGGCAGACGGGACAAAAAGAGCCTTGAGAAAAAAAGATAAAGGAGCAAAGCAGAAGCGACTGTGCTCTGTGAGTGCCAGGAGCAGAAGAAGTATAGACATAAATGCATAAATAAAATTAAAATACTTTTGTCAGGCATACATCCAAAACAAAACATATTGGCTTTCGTGTTATTTAAATATCACCAAGGTGAGTCAGACTCTGTTTCATTCAACTGTCCGACGTGCTTTCTCTTTCAGTGTTCATGCATCAGCGAGGTGCTGCCGTGATAGGCAAGGACTGCTTTGCAAATAATGCAGGTACTGTTTCTATTCGCCAAATTCAGGCTAGAATGCTCCCAAACTTTAGATGTTTTGGTACGCGTAGCTACTGTGTTGGATGCCGCCATGTCTGTTAGTTAGTTGACGCTCAGCAGAGAAGCTACTGCGCATGTGCGACTCTCAGTAGAGATAGTAATGAAATGAGATTACAGCTGGTCAAACTGTACGTTCACAGCATGGTGCATATATATGCAGATCACCCTGATGTTGACCGTTTTTGTCACGATTCTGCTCAGGATGAGGGATTTAGCAAAGACGGCCAAAAATCACAGAGTGTGATCCTGGCATTAAACACTTTAGAACTCCACTAATTCATCAGTTCTACCAGAAATCAGCAGAAATCCTGTTTTTCTGTCTGAGGAGTCAAATTAATCAGTTAGAAACACTTTTCTTACTTTGTGCCTGAAGGTCCAGATTCACTGAGGTCTGGAGGTTTTCTCATGGACCCGTCACTCTTCATAGACAGACAGCTGGGTCCTGGAGGTTCTGCTCTCCATCTGTGGTTCTGACCTCTGAAACACAAACATGTTGTAACTCAGATCACATCAATCCATGAGAAAATCTCTGCTGAAACCATTTCAGAAGCTCTGAACACACAAACTGCTGCAGAGAATCAGAAGTTTCATGTTTGTAACTGAGGTCAGATGAAAGCCTCTCTAGATGATGGACATCAGAGAGGAGAAACCTAAACAAGTTCAATCAGCTTCATCAACACTTTTCTTACTTTGTGTCTGAAGGTCCAGGTCCACTGAGGTCTGGAGGTTTTCTCATGGACCCGTCACTCTTCATAGACAGACAGCTGGGTTCTGGAGGTTCTGCTCTCCATCTGTGGTTCTGACCTCTGAAACACAAACATGTTGTAACTCAGATCACATCAATCCATGAGAAAATCTCTGCTGAAACCATTTCAGAAGCTCTGAACACACAAACTGCTGCAGAGAATCAGAAGTTTCATGTTTGTAACTGAGGTCAGATGAAAGCCTCTCTAGATGATGGACATCAGAGAGGAGAAACCTAAACAAGTTCAATCAGCTTCATCAACACTTTTCTTACTTTGTGTCTGAAGGTCCAGGTCCACTGAGGTCTGGAGGTTTTCTCATGGACCCGTCACTCTTCATAGACATACAGCTGGGTCCTGGAGGTTCTGCTCTGTTCTCCTCTTCCTCCACAGAAACGTCCATCTTCCTCTTCAGTCAGTCTGAGAGGAACCAGTTAGACTGACTGGGATTCACCAGTAAAGAATCAGGACTAAAGAGTCAGATGGAGAGTTTCACTCAAAACAAACAGAAAGACCTCTGGAACTCATTTCCACAGGCAGAATAATGAGTCATATAACATTTAATAGGAAATATATTTGCCTCCATTAAGTCTGAAAATGTGTTTAAATCCTTTTAACCGAGACTGAATGAGGAGAGTGGATGTCCACTGATCAGAGGTTGAGTGGTTTGATTCCAGGCTCCAGAAGGTCTTGCGCTGAAGTGCCCTTGGGCAGAACCCTGAAGACTTCTCCCTGAGCGCTGCACTACTGTCATTTCACTGCTCCTCATAGATGGGTCAGATGCACGGATTTCCCCAAGCGGATCAATAAAGTATCAATTATTATTAGAAATGAGAGTTCTCAAGAATCTGATGATGCTACAGAAAACTCCGATGACAGGAAACAGCAGATCTAAGTGCTGTCTCACCTCAGTGTCATGGATCATTCAGCTGAACTTTAGTCAAAGCTGATTATGATTTAGACCTATTGTTCTCTGGTTTCCATGAGCCTAGAACAGGAACAGACCTGCTGCACACAGCTGGGCAGATCAGGCCACTTTTACTACATTTCATTTATCTTCCACACACGTTTAGTCTTTGTACTCTGCTTTAGTAACATGACCTGAATGCTTGAGAGCCAACAGATAACAATAAAGTAAGCCCAGCAGTGAGATAAATGCTACAAGATTTATTACTTGTTCACATTTGAGGTTTTTCAGTGTCTTTGCTACATAAACTGAAGCTGCTATGTTTAAAACAGAGTGATTATTATAGCGCTAAGTTCTTCACTAAACTCCCCAAAGCATTTGTTCTGTTGGTGGCAGGATGGAGGTCCGTTAAGGCCAAAACTGCTGTCAAGCCAGCCCTACTTCGACTTTTACGGGCGCAACTACAAGAGAAATTACGGTGTCCTCATTCGAGTGTCTTTCAAAAAAAAAAAGCGCACTTCTAGGATGTGAGTCTGAACGTGCTAATGAACACTTTTTCTGTATGTGTTCAATTTTGTCTAAGATAAAACTGCACTTTTAATGATTCTATCTATTAAAAAACACTTAGGAAAATGAATGAAAACGATTAAAACAAAATTTTCTGTAACCTTGTGTGCAAGATAAAACTGCTTTGTCAATGATTTTATCTATTTTAAAAATATTTTGAATTAAAAGAATAAACACGATTTAAACATTTTTAGTGTAAATTTGTGTGCAAGATAAAACTGCATTTTTAATTATTATATTTATTTAAAAATACTTTAAATTAAAAGAACAAACACAAATTAAACGTAATTTTTTTGTAAAATTGTGGGCAACATTAAACAGATCGAGTACTATATCCTCCCCAACGTTCATAAAGATCTGATGTGGCATTTAAAAAAAATGTTGTATCAAAGTTGGCTCAAAAACAATTTTGACTATTCAATGGTTGTTTTCTCAAAAACTGTCTGATTCTGCAACATCATTCCACATCACTCCTAAAGTACACATTGAGTACTACATCCTCCCTGACTTTCATAAAGATCTGATGTGGCATTACAATATAAAGTGCAATCAAATTAGTCAATTATGACAATTTTCACCACATTCAATGGTTTCTTTCTCAAAAACTGTCTGATTGCGCAACACCATTCCACATCACTCCTAAGGTACACATCGAGTACTACATACTCCCCGACTTTCATAAAGATCTGATGTGGCATTTCAAAATAAAGTGTAGGGCTGCAACAAACGATTATTTGGATAATCGATTAATCGGATGGGGTCTCGACACGATTAATCGATTAATCGGATTACATGGGGAAATTTTTAAAAACTGCTAGGGAAACGTTTTTTCTCTCCTTCCTTCACTTTATTTAACACAACATTATTAGAAAACAGTTCAATAGCAGAAAAACAACATGCCATCACCTAAATTGTCTTATAAGGTGTATAGACAGAGACCCTAAGCTACATCTATCTGTGACCTAAAATGCTTGGTCCAAGTTAAACAGCTTAAGGGCAATTCTCATCTGTTTTGTTTGATCTCATCTGTTGACATTTATTTTAAATGTAATTAAACATAGGCTGTGAATTAATCAAAATTGATCACTATTTCCAAAAATGACTGAAAAAATACCAAATAAAACAAAAGTAAATGAATGCCATCCTCCTTGCGATGATGCCCTGGGCAACTGCCATAAAGTCACATCAAGAAATGCTGCTGATCATTCCAATGATCCCAAATAGACTCACATTAGGCCACATGAAAGCAACTGAACCCAAAAATATATTAACCAGTATATAACTGCACTCTCACACAACACGCCTGCAGCAACAGTTAGGACTCCTCCCCCCCTTTTAAAAGCGTTTTTGCTTCTGAGGACATTGTGGTTGTAAAACCACATGCTAGTAGTCTGGCCCCGGTGTGATCAACCAGTTTCTGCGGGAATGTGACGGCAGAACCAGGGCCAGATTAACACTTTGTTGTACCCTGGGCAACAATATTCAAGGGCTCCATCATCACGACCCAAGGATCACCATAATGTGGTCACATACAGAATATATTACTGTAATATGCAGTAAATATACTCAATACTTGAATGCCTGACAACACGTAACCCGCCCAGAGTAACCTTTGACCCACCTCGTGTGGACTGACCAATGAGGAGAGGGTCTTAACTTGAGGCCCTCTCTTCATTGGTCAGTCTGCATGAGACTGACTCTCAACTGACATTCAGTCGTAGGCAGCGAAGCGTCTCTGTGCAGCGCAAAAGCCCGGGTGGACAGTTTGTTTAATGTAGGGTGACCATATTTCCATTTCCAAACAAGAGGACAGGGGATCTGTGCCTATGACGTCACACTATGGCAACGCCACACAAACCATGTTGGGACCCATTTTTTGTAAGAACTAAATTAATATCAGATTCTGCCAATAAAAGGGCTCTAAAACAATTAATCTGTAAATATTTAGCATATTTAATGCAAAATCTCATTTTTCTGTTTTAGTGCTGCGACAAGGTTTTATTAATAATAAATTATTATACCTTTTGTTTTACTACAGCATCGGTAAGCTTCCTGTGGACAGATGATTAAGGATGCTTGTTTCAGCTGTGAGATTAGACGATAGGATCAATGAAAAAATAAGTTGTCCCACACTCCATGGAAACTTTCAGAGAATCCACAAATAGTGGCTTTCAAATAGTTTTGTTACTTTTTGCAAGTTTAGAAATGCAGCAGATGAGACAGCATGTCTGATAATTTAGTTTTCCATCTGATAATATTAGAACATGTCAGTAATGTCTGAGGGGCTTTTATAAACACCATATAACTAACACTACTGGAGAGGGCATGAATTACACAGAGGCTTCTGGGGAGCCCATATGGGGGGGGGGGGGGGGGGGGGCATTTTGCCTTGGCCCCCAAAATGTCTTGAAACGGCCCTGGGTGTGTGACTGAGTTTTGAAGGTGATCTGAATTGTATCAGATGTATAAATATTACATGTGTAGAACTTATTGTTTTTTACTGGTAAAAACGTGTAGTGGAGATAAATCTACCTACATTTTACTTTTCAACACTTTGTTTTGTTTTCTTGTTTTTATTTAACTATTTTCCTGTCCTGTCTGTCTCTCATCTTCCTGCATCTCCTCTTAATTCTCCAGAAAATCTGTTGCCTGGATTCTTACCTTTTCACCTCATCAGTTACTTTTGAGCAGATCAAAGGGATCTCCTGACCGAAAAGCGCAGAGCGCGTTTTCTATGCTGCGTGAGGTGACATCACCACAGCACAGGTGATGAGCTCCGCAGTAGCAAGCTTCAGGCACAAATAAGACAGAAAATAGAGAACATGTGCGGACATGAACGATCGTGTGCTAATTATAGTTTTTTGGTTGCGCCACTTTGAGAATGGACCGTGCGCTGGAAGCAGCTGCCTGGATCGCTGCGCAACAATGCGGAACCGGTTCGCAGCAGCGCAAGTCTGCCGGCTCTGCCTCGCGCTGATCTGCCGGTACCGGCTCTCCCTCAAGCTGATCTGCGGCTCTCCCTCGCGCTGATCTGCCGGTACCGGCTCTCCCTCACGCTGATCTGCGGCTCTCCCTCGCGCTGATCTGCCGGTACCGGCTCTCCCTCACGCTGATCTGCGGCTCTCCCTCGCGCTGATCTGCCGGTACCGGCTCTCCCTCGCGCTGATCTGACTTGCTCCGGTCTGCGCGCAACGGCGGGCGGGAAGGGGGGGGGCGCTTTTGGAAGAGTTGTGCGACACAACGAATCGATGACGCAATTCGTTGCCAAGGCTTTTAGTAATCGATTTTCATCGAATTTATCGATTAGTTGTTGCAGCCCTAATAAAGTGCAATCAAAGTTGCCGGTAATGAAAATGTTCACCATATTCAATGGTGTCTCTCAAAAACTGTCTGATTGCGCAACATCATTCCACAACAGTCTTAAAGTATACATCGAGTACTACAACCTCACCATAGCTCAAAAAGATCTGATGTGGCACTTCAAAATAAAGTAGAATCAAATTTGTGAATTATGATATATTCACCATATTCATTGGTTTCTTTCTCAAAAACTGTCTTGATTGCGCAACATCATTCCACATCACTCCTAAAGTACACATCGAGTACTACATCCTCCCCGACTTTCATAAAGATCTGATGTGACATTTCAAAATAAAGTGCAATCAAAGTTGTCAATAGTGACAATTTTCACCATAATCAATGGTTTCTTTCTCAAAAACTGTCTAATTGCGCAACATCATTCCACATCATTCCTAAAGTACACATCGAGTACTACATCGTATCTGACTGTCATAAAGATCTGATGTGGTATTTCAAAATAAAGTGCAATCAAAGTTGTCAATCATGACAATTTTCACCATATTCAATGGTGTCTTTCTCAAAAACAGTCTTGATTGTGCAACATCATTCCACCTCCGTCTTAAAGTACACATCCTCACCAGAGTTCATAAAGATCTGATGTGGCATTTCAAAAACAAGTACAATGACAAATTTCAC